GACTTTTCTAGCCATTGTTTGTTTTACCTACCACCTAGTAAGAAAATTTAACCACCTTGTAATCATTTACAATACATTGCACAGCAGTAAATGTACAAGAAATGAGAAGTAGGCAATAACAAAACACTCATTTTATATTAATCATTGTTGAAGATGTAAGTATTTTGATATTTTAAAGTACGCAAAAATGCTATTATAGTGCACTGTACAAGCGCCAAAAAGGCGTTTGTCCAAATTTTTGGCATGCTTTGTGCACGCCACTTATCTCTGGGCTCCCTCATCATTTTCTTCCCAGTTCACAGTCAACCATAGATGAGTCAACTCAGTAGTGGTATAGTCAGGCATGGTAGGCGATACCTGATACTATCGAAACATTATCAGTAAATGCTTGTCTTTGCCTATATGTCTACACCCACTAACTTATCTAATTTCTAATTGTTTTTACTTTCCTTTTTTTATTTAACTATTGTTTCTGTACTACTCTACTTTTTATTTATATAGTGGTATGCAGCTTCTCTGTTGCATATCCATCAGGCTATCTCTTCTCTTTCTCCACCTCTGTCTCTTATTACCATTATTATTATTATTATAATAAAACTTTACAGGTTTAGTAAAAAGAGAGGTATTAATAATAATAATGGTAATAATGATAATAACCATACAGATACTATGAACCTGAAATTGAGCAATCTGATTGGTCAACCATAGATACTAGAGTATGATTAGAGAAGCTAAGATCTTGCTTCCAGCCATTGCATGAGCACTGAACTACGAGAGTGTTATAATTATGTGCATGCATATTCTGTATATAGCCTACACCTGACCATGCAGATTATCATGACTATAATGATTGTATTCATACTGTAGGAGGGCAATTCTTGAATATAATAATAATGTTGAGACAACCTAGGCTGCTTAATGTATCACAATTTTAAACCAACATCTGTTCAACAGCAATTACTGTTCTGTGCCATGTTATATGAGTTCCTGCTTGTTTCTACCGTGAAACTCACTTGTGTTATTTTTAACTGAGGAGAGATTTTACACTATTTCACATAAATACATCATTTTACTACATACTGTTATACCATGGTGTAAAACTGTTCTGTTAAAACCGTTTAATGCTAGTATTTATTCAATGTAAATGTAGATTAGGCTATTTTCTAATTCAGGAATACTGGCCTATAGTATTACAAAAACTGTAGCAACAATAATAATTTAGCATGAACTTTTATAAACAGAAATACAATACAAAGAAAAAAAATAACTAAAAAGTATAAGAGTGTATTTGTTTTTTTGAGAAATTTTGGCACAAAATAACAGTAAATAATAAAGTATTAGTTGCAGCTGTAAAGTAGCACAAAGTGCAAATAAAAGATAAGATTCTAAAAGCCATATTATACCAACAACAATAAATTGAGAAAAAGCAAAATAAAAAGAATTTATTCTACAATCAAAATAAAAACACAAGTAGCAAGTAAGGAAATAGGTCTTTTCAAAATTTGAACCTTTGTAAAAATCTAAATTGTATGCAAAAACTTTTAAAAATGTAATATAAGGAGCGATTTCTTCCTTTTTTAGAAATGAAAAAATGTATTGATCATCAAAAATTGCTATTGAATGATACTGCATATACTTTTTATATGCAGATAATATATATGCTAGTATTGCAAATAAGCGAAGAAATAAATTAAATTCGAAAGGTAAATTTATGATGCTAGTAAAAAAGAGTGCAGCAGAGCTAATAATATCAGTCACCTCTTCTGAAAATAGTGCTGACACACACAAAAAGAATGGGAGTGACAAGATCGAAAATAGAATGAGAGATAAATTTTTGTTCACAGTTGCTGCACAAATGATACCTGAAGCAAAAAAAGTAGCCGAAATTATTGCCCTAACACACATTTGATTTTTCCAGATTTTATTATTTTTTCGAATAATGCTATACATGATGCCTGGTACCAACATAAAGCAAATGATCAACAAGACCCTATAGCAATAAAATAAAATTTAATAGTAGTAATAACATTTGCATACATTTCATATTGACTTTCATATAGATTTAATAAACTAGCCACTAGCATCACTAGAACTGCAAGTATTGCTGTAATACCATTCATGTGAGAGAAGAATTGGCTTAAGGTGATATTTTGCTGCATATTCGAATTCAGTGATGCTTCTTCCTCAATTTGTATTGCACCTGGTATAATAGTTATGGAAATAATAATTGAGTCCATAAAATATAATTACATTCTTTACCTTTTTTGTTATCGAGAACTCTTGCATTATTATTATTCAAGTCTTCTTCTAGACAATTAATCATCATAACAATTTTGATTACTTTTCTATAGCTCATCCTATCAATTAGCTGTATACTATTAGCTAAAGAAGAGAGCTCTGCAGCAAAAATACATTTCTATATCATACTATATACACCATCAATAAATTACCAGCTTTAGATGCTTGCAACTTTTGAATTACAATTTCCATTTTTTCTTCTATGCCAGTAAGTACAGTAAAAATTGGTAACTTCAATGTGCAGTGTATACCTTTTAAACTGCTTTTAGCATGAGGTATATCTTTATCCACATCCATGCGTATTAACTCCATCTTGATTGAGGTTTCATCTAATTTTATAATAAGTGATTAAAAGGGAAGGCAATTTCATACTTACTTTTTGAATCGAATGCCTCTTTTATCTCATCAGTCACAAATAATCGAGCAATTTCCTTTCTTTCCGACAGTAAAGCTAGCATCATTGGACTATCTCCATTATCATCTTCATAGTATGGATCAGCTCCCAATGACAGCAACACCGATACTTCAAACGTATTGCCTAATTTCACTGCTTCAATTAACGACTCATCAAAGTCAACATCATCCTTTTTATTTAGAAGCACTTCATTATTTTATGAAAAATAAAATACACCAACTCGATGCATTGATT